GACGATAGTATCGTCTAAGCGCAGAGAAATTTCGCACTGGACGTTTACAGAGGCAAGAGACTCGGAGATGTTCAAGAGGCCCTTGTGCACAAGGATAGTGGCTGGTAGCGAGGAGCGTTCGCGATACGACTGAGATCGTTCAGCGGGCATAGCTGAAGCATCTAGCCTTAGCAATACTGTTTTTCTCTAACCAGGCGCAACAGCGATCGCTGCTCAAAGACTTGCGTCCGTGTAACGATTCTAGTATTGACACTCGTCCCTATTGTTCCTATGTACTCGAAGCCTACTCGCAGTACTGGGAATAAGATGATACCGGCGTGGGCCTACAGGGCCACTTCAGCGCACGGAGGTTCTCTGATTATCTCTGAGTAATGGGAGCATTTCTCTTGCTTTCCTGCTCAGGAGAAATAGGCTGCTGAATTGTCAGAAATATCGTTGCAGAGGACCGGACACGGAAGGTAAACACAGGCTTTCGCGCGAGATTCCCTAGAAAGATTGGCAATATCCGTAACTCAACAAGCGCTACACTCTACCAAACCGTCCAAGAAAGACGTGTGTCCGCTCATCTCATCTATCCCCTGGGGGGGGGGGGGGGTTCAATTGACTGATTTGACACTTAACTTGCCCGCGAGAACGGCCGCAGCGGCGCAGCGAGCATCGTGAGCCCGCCCCCCGCCTGCGGTCGTCCTCTGGGAAGCGCCAGTTGAAGATCGAGCACTACTATCGGCGTCGTCGGCTTGCTTCGGCTTGCAAAGAGAGAAGAGAAGAGCGTACAATCATTATCTCGATATCGGAGATATTCTCAGGCTTTGATGCATCCTTGTCTTCCTCGCTGAACGGTTTCTGCCCCGCGTCAAGTCAAGTCAGCGCTCGCAGGTGAGGGTGCATACTTCGACGAGCGAAGTGAAGAACCACCCATCGCCAAAGAGGAGGCAGCACAGGAGTCGGTAAAGGAGAAACACGGCCCCCAGACGAGAACAACCAGTGAATGTTTGAGCGGGTACTGCAGGTCAATATGCGTGCCCATGTGATCTCGCTGTGGTCAAAAGTCAGCAGCGACGCCAAGAGGAGAGAGAAGAGACGCACCAGACTCGACCCAACGCCCTCGAGGTTGTGCACGACTGGAATGCCCATGCCACGCAAGTACTTCTCAGGGCCAACGCCGCTATATGCACGCGAAGAGTTCAGTATACTATGAAGGGCCTGCCGGGATCTTGAGCGTCAACACCTGGGGCGTCCGCAGCACACCCGAGCACAGGACGACTCCCCTCCGGGCCTTGACAAGCACACTTGTCGCGCCTGGCGTCGCGCTCTGTACAACCACGCCCGTAGCCCTCAGGTTCCCGTCCACTAGCCCTTCCGTCTCAATTTTACGCGCGACAGTGTTCACGCATATATGCAGATCCTGGCTATGCGCGAGCACAAACTCCTTCGGGAGGAACGCACGGAACGTGCTCTGCCGGTTGCCCAACGAGTCAATGGTGTGATGGATCAGAAAGGAGCCCGAGATCGGCTGGGCAGCTTCGGGTCGCTCATGACGTCCTTGCCATAGGCGAAGCCTGCTTCCTGGCACCCCTTGATGACGCTGGGAGCGCGTACACGGAGGCATTCACGGGCAACTGTGCAGAGCGGTCGAGCCAGATGTCGCGAGCGTCGCCGCGCTCGATGACGAGCACGCTGCAGCTGGTGTCTTCAGCAAGGCGGCGAGCCAGGACGTATCGGTTGTTCCGCCCGGGTCGCGCTGAACGTGAGTTGCAAGCAGGGAGCGTGGCTGCAGCGGAGTATGAGAGGACGGACGACGCGCGGCGATGCATGCGCGCGGAGGAAGCATGATGGTGCACAGTCAAGATCAAGCGGGACATTGAGCGCGACGTATCCCGCTGATCAGCGTCCGCCTGTCTCAGAGATTGTAATACAAAGGGCGGATCACAGAGTCTGTACGATTGATGGAAGACCTTACAAGCGCCTGGTAGACTCCCCTCAAGGAGCACTGCAACAACTTCCCTCGCCAAGAACATCAACCGTCCGCAAATTGGAGCCACAGAGAACAACGGCATCCATGTCCAACGCAATCTGCGCTCGGCCTGTCCGGAGCACAGCTACTAGTAGTAGACGCGGATCGCTTCCTGGTCGCACCGCCCTTCGCGGGGCGCACCGTGACCCAACCTCTGCCAATCCTCTCACCTTCGAACAGCCGGACAGACAGGTGCGTCCACCGCGTCGCTGCACCTGCTCGCCGCTGACGATCAGCCGTGCATGGGTGTAGCATGTCCAACAACGCCTACGCGGCGCCACTTGACCCGCAACTTGAAGCCGAACGTCTGCTTTTGGAGGCAACAGAAAGCAAAGGGTCGTCGTTGCCAGACAAGCAAGAAGGCACACTGGAATCGGATGCTGCACTCTTACGCACAGAGCCCGAGTATCTTCGCGGCGGAAAGCTCGCTGTTGTCTTCGGGTATGCACCCCATCTGTTATAACGTCCGGACGATCACTTATCACGACTCGTACAAGCTCTTTGCTGCTCTCAGTTCTACTTGTGAACCTCGACCAGACTATTGTAGGAGCCATCTTATACAGTACCAGCCGCTGCGAACCATAGACTGACGGCTCCCAGGTAGCGACTGCATTGCCGCGCATCGTCTCCGTATTCAACGCGCTCGATCTTGCCACGTGGGTCGCCGCAGCTTGTAAGTCACCCTCCCACCCGGCGACTTCACCCTTCGCTCTCTGTCCTAACGAAACGCCAGATTTCTTGACCCAAGCAGGGCTCATGCTCTGCGTCGGGCAACTGGTCGACACGATACCCATCAAGACCGTCTACGTCATTTCCATCGTTGTCTTCGAGCTCGGGTCTGTGTTATGTGGGGCGGTGAGCCAGGCCAGCCGCTTCATGGGTGCCTTTGTACTGAACTGTGTCTAGGCTCCGTCGATGCGGGTGCTGATCTTCGGCCGGGCAGTGGCTGGATGTGGCGCTGCTGGGTCAGTGTTTGACGCTCAAACTTAGACTTCGGAACGACTGATGACTGACTGGACTGTTGCAGCATCACCATCTGCTCCGTTGCGACTATTGCGACTGTGCGTAACCTGGCCGGACGCTCAAACTTAGACTTCGGAACGACTGATGACTGACTGGGCTGTTGCAGCATCACCATCTGCTCCGTTGCGACTATTGCGACTGTGCGTAACCTGGCCGACCTTTTTTTTGGCGGTTCTGAC